TTTAATGTATGACACATCAACTTAATTCCTCTATAATTTGCAGTCTTGTGCATCCGTTTATTCTTAAGAATGGGGACCAAAATACTCTCCCTCCACTCCTCAGGCATCTTTTTAGTTTTTAAAATAATATTAAAGAGTTTAGTAAACCAAGAAACTCCCAAATCTCCTAAATATTTCCACACTTCAATTGGAATATCATCAGGTCCTATAGACTTTCCACCTTTAGTTTCTTTAAGGCCTCCTCAACTTCTATTTTACTAATGCAACGGTAAAAATGAAACATTTTATTATTATTCACGATATTAAGATCACTGAGGTCGATCGTATTTTCAGAAACTTCATTAAAAAGTTTATCAAAATAACTCACCCACCCATGTAGAATATCTTTTTCTAAGAAAAGTACTTTTTTATTTTCATCTTTAATACACTTTACTTGAGTTAAAACTTTACTTTTTTTCTCTCTTTGTTTGACTAGTTTAAACATATATTTTTCACCATCCTTAGCATCTAATCTATTGTAAAGATCATTAAAAGCAAAATTTTTAGTGTCACAGATTGCTCTTTTAGATTTCCTGCGGGTCGTTTGATATTTTTCCTTGTTATCTAAACTTTTACATTTAAACCAATTTTTATAACAAGACCTCTTATATTTTATCTTTTCTTGCACATCATTATTTCATCACCAACTATTTTTATAACATGAACTAAGCTCAAACAAACAAAATAATAAACGAACAAAAGCTTGAACATAACACAAAAACTTGATTTGAGCTCGAGCTCAAATTTTATAAAAAAGCCCAAGCATGAATAAAATCCTGCTTTACTCGTCACAATTCGTTCGATACCCTACTAAAAAGCTCATGCAAAGGTGCATTAGAATAATATGATTTTGATTGAAAATATAAGAAAATAAGCTTGAAAATTTTAAATCATAGTTGTATGCACATAATCAACCCTTAAATTATTGAACTTTCATTTATTATCCTGCACTTCTATTTAATCCAAATAAAGCTATAATGAAAATGAGAAACAGCAAACAGCATTTAAGGTGCAGCCTGAAGTTATAAGCACAAACTCATTTAGACCAGCAAAACTACAAGTCTCAAACTGATGTATTAATCCATCAAGTATTTATAAAAGCTATGATTCTAATCAATAAGTGCGACTAGAATAAGATTCGAATAACTTGAAAATTACAAAGATGAAAGGTGAGAAAAATAAACCAAATATTGGCTTGAATTTTATAACTAAACAGAAATTTCAATTCATTTTCTCTCTCATTTAAATAACAGAGCCCTGACATAAGTGAAAAGTAAAATCAGTTAGTTAAATATGAGGTTGTTTGAAGACAGGTTCATCATGAAACACAATCCCACTAAAAATTGTCATTAAATGAATCTAGAATCTTGGAAAATTGCAGTCCATAACTCTTTTTTCCCTAAAAAACATTAAAACAAAAAGATCAATGACACTGGTGAGCTCTTTAGACCAGGAAAGAGGAACATTAAAATCTAAATCAACATAAATAAGATAATAATAGTAATTAATAGCTAGTGGGTAGTAGCATACCATGGGATTAGGCATCGACATGGGCATTGAAGGAACCATAGACGAAGGCATGGAAGAAGGCATGGTGTTAGGCATACCAAGGGATTGCATTTGAGGGGGCGGCCGAGATAGATGATGCGGAAGGAGCGATAAATGTGCAGGAGGCTGCAAGGGGTTCATAGTTGGAGGTGCCAGAGGCATAGGTACCATCTGCTGTGGAAATGGTGGAAGCTGCTGCTGCTGCTGTTGAGGCACTTGCTGAACAACTTGTTGATAAGCTTGCTGCTGCCCAGCAGCCAAAAGGGATGGGTGGGGACCAGGGGGAAGAGGAGGTGCTCCACCAAGTGGAATTCCGGGAATTTGGGGTCGTTGCTCTTGATCGGAACCGTCGAGAGATTGGGCGGACAATGGCATTGCGACTCCAATACCAGGAATATTCCCTTCATTTCGCGGCAATCCAGCTGCAAAAGCTCCAGGAGTCGGCGGGGCTTCAGGCATTGGGTAACCACTCATTGGTCGTCCAACGAAAGAAGGATTCTGGTCACCATAGCCTGGAAACATTAAGCGGTAAAAGCTTAAAACAAACATGAAAAACCATATTAATATACAAAGAATTTTGTTCTATCCTGCACTGAGAAGGGTGAAAGAGCAATTCAAAGAACCTTGGGCGTGGAAAGCATTGTATTTATCGCGGGCTTGATCACCAGGACGATTTCTACACCAAAACCTCGTAGCATGATCATTTCCGCCGCTGCAGCATGACATTAAAATATAATGTTGTAATGAAAATGAATTATAAATCATAATCATCAATAGCACACATGGATATTCCACTGGAAGCATGCTAAAATGATAGTTCGAACTTTGAACACAACTTCTAAAACAAATCAAGCAAACCACTATTTCAGCAGTAAAGCCAAAATAAAAATTTTGAAAACACCAAGCATACCTTAAAATTAATAAACTATAAATTTTTAATGGATTCTAAGAATTCACATACCTGCAAAGTAAATAGCCAATAGGATGCCAAGAAAGATCCCACACGCAACTATCATGTGCCCCAGGCAGTTCAACCTGAGGATTCTCATGACTGTTGAAGTCAATGATTTAGTAAGAGAGTGATAAAAACATTTAAAGAAAAGGATAACATAAGAAATTTTGCTAAATCATAATGCAGCATATTTCCTAGTTTGTCAAACTGTAGTATGCAAATTTTGGGCAGTTTGGTTATCCTAAATGGAATTAATTCACAAATATAATTTTTCCTTATGGAGAACGAACACTTGTAGAAGATAGTTGTTCTGTACTAAGAGCACCAATTTGACTTGTATCGAAATTCAATTTAGCATCTAACTTCTAAATTTTCCCAAAAATAGGACTTTGAAGATTTTGAAGACCCATTTGGCACATTGGATGGGTCAACGTTACAAAGTATGTAAATCTTATAATTTGAGATGTGATAAGATGCTTGATTTCAAAATACTATAACAGAAAATAATGTATAATATAATATGAAGTAAAAGAAAATTTCATATTTAAAATACTATGCATGTATTTACTTTAAGCAAGTTTTAAACAAGTTTTAAAAATGTGAAACGCGAAACTGGAAAGTTTTGCCCTGGTGAGGTGACGCTTAAGCCTCACAATACAAAAAGAATCATTAAATTACAATAATTCATAAATAAAACATAGATCACTGATATATTTAATTTATTATCACTAAAATTTTAAAACAAACATATGGCAAGCATTCACTTAAAAATAAATCCACTATGAGAACAAAAAATCACGATGACCTAATTCGTATTTTCATCAGTATTATAAGAATCATCATAAATAATAACTTCATAATCATTTGAATTTTTATCTTATTGGTTTTACAAATTTCTTTGATACTATACTTTTCTTCTTACTGATTATATCGACTAAATTAGATCAAATATAATTAAAAAGAAAATAAACTAATATAATTATGTAATAAAAAAAAAAACTTGTTTTATATTTTGAGATATTTTATCAGATAGATTACAAATAATATAAGAGATACATTAATCATATAATATAATATAATATAATAATATTTTGCATGATCAGATGGAGGCATTGCTTTAAGCGATTCAAGGCATAAAGCCTCCAGACGTACAACATTGACAAAAAAAAAAAAACCATAAGCCTCATTAGTGATAGTGAAACTAAGTCTCAAGGCATTTTTTGTGCGCCTCAATTCCAAGCTGCCTGAGATCTGCCTCAAAGACCTTCCTAAACAAGGAGTTTAAAAGCCATTATCAGCATCAAATTTTGCAAGAATTAATTTGCTATTTAACTTGAGTTAATAGATTAGTAACAGTAATCTTTCTATCAATTAACTGATTATCGTTTCATATGCGAATTAGATAATTTACAACTCGTTACTTTAATAAATAATTACATAAATTTCACATGGAAACTTTAAATGCTTTATTCGGCTTGTTATCAGAACAACCTAGAGCTTTAAATGCATCCATCATTGAATCCTTTCACCATGCAATCCTTACCCACACATTATCTATTTAATAAAAAGAAGACATAAAAAAAAAAAAAATTGGAGACAATCTACTAGCCTTAGCCGCAGGTTCAAGCAAGCTCCTTTCTGGCAAATCACATGCATCAAAAATTCATGATACCCAAATGTGAGCCCTCTCTACGCATTGCAGTCAAATTTATAGCCCCATCGACACCACAATCTTTCAAGTACAAACCACTTCTTTCTCATTTGTGACATCACCAATATTTTTCCTCAACAAATGAACACTCACATAGCCTAACCCCAAATGTAACGAGAAACAATTGCAAACCCACATCATTTGGCTATCTTCCCCTAATCAAAAGAACTTCAACCCTCTATTAAAATCAACAAGAATTCATATGAAAGGGGTAGTCACTATGAGTAAACAATGAAATGATGGTGTGAGGGCAGGGTAACAACTATTAGTGATGAGCGACTTAAGTATAGCCTTCCCTACATTGCCTCTCTTTCTCAATCCTTCCTGTTACAAACCGTGCCACACCTTGACAATCACATTTGTTCGTGTAGGAAAGTATCAATCAGCAAATCTAATTAGGAAGAAATTTAATAGTGTTTTTGTTTCTGTTTTTTTTTCCTATATTTCTATTGTTTTCCTATTCACAAGGATTCCTATTTTGATTCATTTCACTATAATTCACATGAATAAAGGTATAATGGATTTGAACAAGTTAGAAAAAATATTATTTTCAGAATTCTACATGATATCAAAGCCAAACAATACTCTTTTCATTTTCATTCTCACTCGCAGTCGTAGTCGCTGCTCATCATCGATGTCGAAGAGTGTCGAAGCTTATCTGTGTTTCCAACGACAACTTCATCCAATGAGTCGTAAAATGACGAAGTTTCTAAGGTCGACAACCTGACTTGAACTCGTACGTACCGTCAACAATGACAAATTCATAGGATTCTACGAAGTTGTTTTCAACACCAACCCTAACCTTAATCTTCGCTTCTCTCATATGCATATCTTGTTGCGTCGAGATCTATAGATATAACAGTTGATGTGGTATAATATATAAATCAAACAGGAGAACGATAGACGAAGCAAAAAAATATAACAAGAGAAATCACACCAAAAAAGAACAGTAACACCACAGCGGATGACACAGATTTACGTGGTTCGGGAAATTGTCTACGTCCACAAAGTTATAGAGGATTTTACTACTTGAGGAACATACACCAGTCGATCACCTCGACTTACAAGAAGAATCTCTCACTCTCACCTCATTGCTCCCTCTTCTTCTCTCTTTGTTATTCTCTCTCTACATTGAGATACACCGAAGAAAACTCTACACAGAGATACACCGAAGAAGATAAACTTACAAGAGAAACAAACTTAATTTCTTTTCAGCCACAAGCCAACAATTAAAAACTAAGAGAGAACAATATTCTTCTTCTTCTTTCTTCCTCTGTCGCAAGGAACTACCTCTTGAACTTCTCTTCCTCTGCCCTGAGGAAATCTTCCTCTATCCTGAGGAAACCGAAGAACTCAAATTGTGACTTCTCATACAAACCGAAGGGGAGTCATGTGAACCTTTTTATCGCGAATAGGAAGAGAGGAGCGTCAATTCACGAACATAACCGAAAGTTGACGGGAGCGGTTCAAAATCGCGCGATCGGGCGGGGGCGGAAGTGGCGCGATCTTTCGCGATCTGGAACAGGGAGCTTTGGCGCCGATTCGCGAAACGGAAGGCGAGATCAGGAGTTATCGGGCTCCAGCTAACAAATCTCCCACATGGAGATTGATACACATGCTACAACATCTCCTTCCTCGAACTAATCTCCTCCACTAACAATGTCGCCTTTTTCTTCAAACATGAATCCTCCAACTTGAATCATCCACCTCTTCAACTCAAAGTCTTGTCTTCACTCTAGAAAACCAACTGAAGATGTGCAAAACTTCAGTTTCTCAAGAGTAACACCCTCAGTCAACATATCAATAGAGTCTAAATAGTCTTGCACCTCCAAGCTATTTCCCGGATTACTCGTCTCTGCTTACAACTCTCACTGCATGGGCAATATCCTACCGCTGTTGAAAGTCTTTTTCAACAAGTCTAGCCTTATACCTCTTACTGACATCACGCTTAGTCTTCACCTGGTACACCCACTTGTTATGTAATGTCTTCTTCCCTTGTGGAAATTCTGTCAGCTCCTACTTGCTCGAAATTTCATCCTGCAAGATTTCTTCACGGCTCTGTGGTTCTTCAACATCTATCTGTGGAACAATAAGAATAGGTGCTCCGGACCCACTTTCCTCTTTACTTTCATCATCAACAGAAGTATGAACTGTCAGCAATAATGCATAATGTACTTCAAATACCACATTTACGCTATCATTCTTCATATTTTTGGGATTCCTACAGTTCCTCATTATGTGGTCAGCCTTGCCACAATCCAGCAGGTTGTAAGTTGACCAAACTTTAATTTTGATATCCCTTTATTTGAGCTTATGGCATGTCATCTCCCTCTGAAATCAACATTCAGTTTAAACTCATACCTGAGATCTCGCCAGAATATTTCCTGCGAACTTCCTCAGCTAAAATCAAATCACAAATATCATCGCATTGCAGTTTAGATTTACCTGCAGAACTGCTAATTGTCATCATCATGGCTTCTCAACTATTTGACAACGATGCTAGCGCACGTATCTCAACATCAAAATCAATTTCAACAGACGAAAATTGATTTGTGATAGTATTGAAATCATTCAGATATTGAGCAACAGAAACGTCTTCCACCGTCTTCAAGTTGAATCTTATTCATCAAGTACACCTTGTTATTCGTCGATGACTTTTCATACACATCTGATAAGACTCTCATGAGATCTGCAGTCGTCTTCTCCTTGACGACGATGTGTGCAACGGACCTCGACATGGTCAATCGAATAACCCCCAGAGTCTGTCGATCCAACAAATTGCATTCAGCCTCGTCCATCCTTTCAAGTTTTTTCCCCAATAACGGAAGATGAAGTTTCTTCCCATAAAGATAATTTTTTTATCTGCATTCTCTAGTAAACAAAATCTATGTCATCAAACTTCTCGATCCCTGAAACTTTCACTTCATCTGCAGCCGTCATTCTTCCTCAGATTCGAACAAAGCTCTGATATCAGTTGTTGCGTCGAGATCTATAGATATATCTGTTTATGTGGTATATATATAAATCAAACAGGAGAATGATCGACAAAGCGAAAAATAGAACGAGAAAAATCGCACCAGAAAGAACAGTAACACCACAGCGGAATATAGATTTATGTGGTTCGACAAATTGTCTACGTCCACGGAGTTGCAGAGGATTTTACTAGAGGAATTTACACCACTCGATCACCTCGACTTACAAGAGGAATCTCTCACTCTCACTTCGTTGCTCTCTCTTCTTCTCTCTCTACATCGAGATACACCGAAGAAAACTCTACACAGAGATACACCGAAGAAGATAAACTTACAAGAGAAATAAACACAATTTCTTTTCAGTCACAAGCCACCAAGAATAAGCCAAGAGAGAACAATATTCTTCTTCTTTCTTC